GACTAGTTTTTCAAACTTTATAAATGATTCTTTTTATTTTCTTACATGTTGAAATATAATATAGTAGTTTTTGCTTGTTATCTCGACGTTCTATAGAAAAGAGAGAAACTTTAAAATAGACGTTCACTAAATATGATACTGTTTTGTATATATTATATTTATATTATTTTGTATTTTAATGGTACATATTCATATTTCAGTTGCAGTGGTAGACATTTAATATTCTACGATTTATTTTAGCCCATGATTTATTCAAATTATAAAATATTATTTACAATACTTTTGTGAGTCATAAAAATTACTATCCTAAAAAAATACAAGAATAGGGCTGTTCATAGGGTAGAGACAGCTTAGGACTTTTGTATAAAGGTCCAAACTTTTCTAAAGAATAATCTTTGTCACATCGCCATCCCACATATCCTGGAAATAATAGGTTTGAATTTCTCTTAAATTTTCCAAATTCAAATAAAAAACTTACCACAACTGGTAACTGGAACATGAGTAGAAGGTTTTATTTTCCAAATATCCGGTTCTGTATTGCCTTTGTCCTTTTTCTTTATCCATATCTTTCTGAACTGTTCTTCGGTGAATCCTCTTTGTAGAGCTTCTTCAATCATTATCTGAAGGTAAGAAATACACCACTAAAGAATAATATTAGTGCTAATGGCAATCATAACATTTTTAGAGGTCTAAAGTTTGGTTTAAAGTCCAACGAAAAACTCAATATTATTATTTTTTAGTTTTCTGTTTAGGTGAGCAAACTGTTACAGTGAGATTTAAGTATTGTAATGATTAACTTGACATTTCAAAAAGTCGAAAGTTGCTATAAAGAATGTAAATATCTTTCGAAACAACTTAATATTTTAAAAATAAAAAAGTAGTCGTGTTAGCTGAGGCCATATAGTTCAAAAACTGAAATCACGTCTCTTAGGTAGTTACTAAGCCCCTCATTTGCAATGAAAATAGGTGCTAATAGGGTCGATTATACTTACCTTGTTAAAATTTAAATAAAACCCCCATTTTTTGTGCCATTCATTCCGCGCTTTTCGTTCCAACGCCTCTTGAGCCTTACTAAACAGAAAGAAATAGTCAAAATCTTATTGTATAATAAAAGTGTTTTTAATATTATAAAATCATTAAAAAATGTGTTAAACAATATCTAGGTACATACAGAACTTCAGATTGTACAACTAGATCACTCATGTCTCTATTCAGTTTTATTCTATTTAAAGTTTGATCAATATTCAGTGTTCTGTCCAATGTGCTACTAAGGACAAATAACACCCGAGAGCAAATTGTTACGATGTCACCAAACAGTGCCGTGGCACATATTTTTCTTAACCTAGCTGTTTGAAGAGATATTTATATTATTTGATAAATGTTTTGACTACGCCTATGGTGTATACGGTGGTATCATACTAATTAATTACGAAAAAAAAACGTATTAAAATGTTAAAAAAAGGTACAAAATTAGTATCGACGTATGGAGCACACATCAAGTACATATAATATAAAAAAAGTAATTATCGAATTCAATAAGGAAACTAAGAAAACGCTAAGAAGGTGGAGCGGACTGTTTATTTATTACCTATGAAACATAACTCCTGGCCCTTTCTTATCGCTGCAGCTTTTACACTTGACAGCTGAACAACTAATCACCATTGTAATAAAGTTTATTCAAAGTTCACTACACACAAACTATTAAAAATCGCTAAAATTGACGCTGATGACCGGCTGATGACCGGCAACAAAATGGCGTCTAACACAACAAATTGTGCTGCAGCCTGTATATGGGCGTTACATGTCCTTGTATTTTTTAGTCATTGTACAAAACAGAAAAAAAAACATCATTTACAACTTTAATTTATGAAAATTGTAATAGTATTTGACTCGAGACTTTTTTAGTCTTTCTATTTGAATGATGTGATGTAAAACTTTAATTTTTCTGAGAAATCATTCCTCTGTACATTACTAAATCCACCAACGATTTGAATAAAACTAATTTAAGTTGTATTAGAGCGAGGCGCGAATGCAACTTTTCTCTCATTAGCTGCAATCTCGCAGAAAGCACCAAAACTATCGTCTCCCGCTTTAAATTGTTTCTCCTCTTCTTTTGATTAAGAAACTTTTTCTCCTATTGTGCTGTTCGCTGGAGTTCTATATCCTCGAAGATAACTTATTTCGCAGGCAATTTGTCCGTTAACTTTTGCCCCTCGTCATAGATAAGAGGAAACGGTAGTTGAAGTAGTACAGCAACTGAATGATACAATTAATTGTATCACGACATAATAATAAAAAACAAAAAATCCTAGCTCCTATAATAAAAAAGTTTTTATTATAGGAGCTACAGACGCACTGTTGCTTGGCTCTTAGGAAAAACTTTTGATTTCTTGCACCAGGGCCTCACATCTTCTTTGCAGTTCACCAAGTAGAACCGTTCTCGCAGCTTGCCAAATGTCTTGGTAACACCAAGATGTCCATCGCTGGTTCCATTGTGACTTCCTCCAAGACCTGCGGGACCCTATTTTTGGAATGGCGATCTGCCTTCTCTCTTGTTGTCCCTCTGGTTTCTCGATCACACGGCGAAGTAATCCGTTATCTATTACCAGTTATCAATTCCACTGGGCCCAGTACGACTTTACGTTCGGTTAATAGAGAACAACGGCATCCGGTCGAATCGGCCTACAAACACGTAAACGTTTACGTACACATGCGCATTTCTTCTATTTTTTATACACGTAAAAGATTCTTTACGTCTACGTATACGTGCCAGGAGCGGCCGACTCGACCGTATGCCGTTGTTCTCTAATATCTGCAAACTTCCTCCCACGTTGGTTTTTGGTCCGCGTTTTTCCGGTTAATCACTAAGACAATTCTGGATCACTGATTTGGTCATTTGCGGGTCATTGCATTCGGGTTGCCAAGTATCATTAACCGCAGTTGTTCTTAGGAGTTTCGCTTCTTTCTCTTCTGCTCGGAAACAATGCTTACAGTCCTTAGCGCAAGGTCTTCTGGAAAGTGCGTCGGCATAAAAACCGTGGCAACCCCTATTTGCGGCAAATTTTTGATAGACACCCTTATAACAGTATGTGCAGCAGAATAAAAATAGTTTTAATTTATCATACCGGGTGCGTATCAAAAGTGGCTCACCCCTACAACATTTTTATTTTTCTAGATAAAATGACGAGATTTGGTATGTTGTTGTATATGATATAAATTAGGATTGACTGACGTATTCTAGAGTGCCATGGTTCTGTTAAAAACACTAATTTTTAATCAAGGAGCCTTGGAAAAATAGATTTGATCATGTAATGTTTTTAGCTGTCTTATCCTGGCCTGTTAAAAGATGCTCAAGTCGTATTTTCAATCATGTCCCAATTTTTTCAAATGGAACAATGGTGACTCATTAGCATATTTGGAAAAAGCATATTTTTATGAATAATTTGGTACCACACACTTGATATTTCGAGTCAAGTTGTCGTTATGAACCGCATGTTATCATTTCAAATAAACCATATTCGAAAATGTCAAAAGTTGACATATGATATGTCATTCTATTCAAAGTGTCATTTTCTATCGAATAAATTAACAAAATATCAGTTATTCTTATTATTAATTAAACATAGTTGCGTCAACTTTTTGATAGGCACCTTGTGAAAAGTGTATTCTGCCATTCATAAATATATACAGGGTGAGTTTCCTACGATGTTATCTATGGGTATTTCGGAAACTACTGGAGATAGAGAGTCAGTTAAATGGGGAAAGAATTGCAGTTTTGTGGGGTCATAAATATGCACCTTTCAGATTTTCGAAAAAGTTCATGGCTTACTAGATATTTCGAAAAAAACAAATTTTGGCTATTTTAAAAATTGTCCCTAATTCCGTTATAATCTATTTTAGGCAAAAAGTTTTCAGATAAAAGTTGTAGATAATCACATCTCCAATGAGATTGTGTTCTCCGATTTTTTCTAAAGCCTGTCATTTTTGACATATGACACAAAATATATTTTTTAAAATGGAAACCATAGTTGCCATGAGTTCATAAAAAGCGACATTTTTTAAGCTTTTCAGCGATATAAGCTATAATATGTTTCTTTCACAAAATTACTTTCTTGCCTAATTTCACTTAGTTAGCCATGGAAACAAGTTCAATCGTCGTTGCTCTCAAAAATGTGAAATTGTCACATCCAATTTTTGTAAATTGAAATAAACAAAAATTGTAAATAAGAGTTTTTCAAATGAAGAAAAGCGTGTACGATTATTGGTTCAACTTTTCTTGGCCATACAGTTTCGAGGATACGTTGACCGGTGAACGTTATTTACGTTTTTTAGAGAACGGTTTTCAAGACATGTTAGAAAAGTCAAATCAGATACTCGCGCATTAATGTGGTTCCAACATGACTTTCATTATGACACACCAAATTTTTTGAAAAAAAAAAAAGAAAAGGAAAGATTTTCTAAAATAGATTATAATGGAATTAGACACAATTTTTAAAATAGCCAAAATTTGTTTTTTTCGAAATATCTAGTAAGCGATAAACTTTTTCAAAAATCCGAAAGGCGCATATTTATGACCCCACAAAACTGCAATTCTTTCCCCATTTAACCGACTCTCTATCTCTAGTAGTTTCCAAGATGCCCATAGAGAACATCGTAGGAAACTCACCCTGTATATATAAAAATTAGGTTTTGATTAAAAATACGATGAGCCTAATAATCATGCAGCCGGATCCTGTACTAGGAGGTCCACAATAGACAGTGGATCAGGCCTCAGAATTACAATTCTCTACCTTAATCGCTCAATCAGTGACATCGGTTTCATCTCACCGTAAATCTGTAGCCACCAGGGAAAGATTAATTCGGCTGCAGCATGTAAAACAAATCCGGTTATGCAAAACGGTTTAACCGGGATACGTATGTGGAGTTCGTGTCCCCCGTCCTCTGTCGTCTGGAGGCGTCCCTCAGGATAGAGCGCCCCCTAGAGATCGTCCCCGTAACGATGAAGGAAAGGGTTTAAGAGGAAACGATGCCAAATTCAATTCGCTTTCGAAGACTTTGTAAACAAAGCGCGCTTACGTGCTTCCAATCAGAAATTGGTTTCAAGCAGTGTTGTATCTTTTCTCTGGTATCTAACTCCTTCTTTTTTCTAATAGAATTATTAAATGTAGATATCGTTTGTAAATATACAGGGTATTACAAAGGAATCTTATTTTAAAGGTATCTGAAATTATCTATCTATCTACACTCAGAAGCAAAAAAAAAACGCAACGGATAAATTTTTGGTCTAGTTTAAAATTTTATATCTTTTTTAATTTTTAGCTCTAGTTCCTTATTTTTTGTTAGCAAACTGTATATAAATATATGAACTTTAATTCATAAACTCAGTTTATTATAAACTTTAGTATTTGACTTATTATACAGGGTTAATCAAAGAGTTGTTTTTTACCTTATCTTTAAAACACCCTGTGCAATAATTCCGTGAGCAAACTTTTCTAAAACATTATTTTTCAGAACCATAATACATATCTTTATAACCGTTTTGCTAAAAACGATAATATTACTAGTCTGTACATTTTGTACATTTGTTGCTTTAAAAACAATCGAAAATGTCAATATTCCATGGATATATTGATAAATGAGGTCTAAATTATAAGAAAATGCATTTTCTACGAAAACTTGAAGGGATAGGTAAAAAATGGTATAATACAATTTGATAGACAATTTAATTGTGCATCTGATTCTCCTAAAATATACAGGGCATTCCATTTAAATTAAAGAAGTTATTGCCGTTTGAAGCTAATAATTATTTTAAATAAATTTTTAGACACTCTGTATAAGGTAGTATTATTTTTATTATTGCAACACAATAACTGATCAATAAATAAACTTCATTAAATATTTAGTATTAAAAACATTGGTACCCTTGGAGAAATGAAGCTTTAAAATTTTACTGCAATTTCACAAAATTGAAAATATTTCAAAAAACGGTAAGGTTTAAGTATAATAAACCTTAATCAAATTTACCTTTATTTTAATCGTAGAAACTAAAAATGTAATAATATACAGGGTGTTCCATTTAAAA